ACCCTTCCACCCTTCCACCCTTCCACCCTTCCACCCTTCCACCCTTCAGCCTGAATGAGCTCGACAGGGAAGTTGGCCTCCCGCTGGCCCTTAGCTGCCCAGCCACCGACATTGTGCACGACCTGGCGGTGCTGTTGCTCCATGCGTTCCTCGTTGGCGGTGAGGCCATCGGTCAACAACTCGGCCTCACCCTGCCAAGCACATGCAATGTCCAGGAGCAAGCGATGGCCTCCACCAGCAAAGGCTGTCCAGTGAGAGAGAAATGGATCGACCAAACAAGGCATGTTGGAAGGTCTTTGTTTTTCGCTCACACCAAAACAAACGGAAGACCCCCCGCCTTCAGACACCACGACACTCTCCTCGTAACAACACCACATCCTTTTGAAAGGGGTTGCATGTTGGTCCAAGATCAACAATACACCTTCGGACAATTGCATAGCCTTGAAGAATGGGGACTTGCTGGGGCTATCACCAATCTCAGCTGAAGGATCATGTTGATTGTTTGCATAGGCACAGATCCAATAGGCATCCGCTTTGGAACGTCCTCTTAAAAATGCATGTTTTTGGATGCATTTCACGGATGCAACCACAGACTCACCCCACCAGTGGCTCACAAAGAAGGAGGGCATCTGCAAATGAATGGATTCCGCGATCCGTTCCACATAACTGCACCTTGCTGGGACTGTTAAAGGCTTGATCAAACACTCGCAGAGTTCATAGAGGTTCACTTCATCTGCGGGTTCGAAGCTGCTGTACAGAACCTCCACTAGATCTTCCAGCTGTGAAAGAAGAATCCCGCGGCATTCCGGATCTGGGATGTGCACAGCCGGTCGGCCTTGGGTCAAAATGGCAAGGGCACGACATGTTGTGGGATTGGAAGGACAACTGCCCATGGTGAGGCGGATGATGAATGTGTTGTTGGCACACACCTGACACAATCAATTAAAGGGACCGGGACCCCTTCAATCAACAGACAAAACGTTGACCAAATCTTATCATCTGATTTGCTGCACCAGTTGATCATGAACTGTTAGCAAAGTCGGCGTGTTTGAACTGAAGGCTGCTTCCATGAAACTAACACATCATGAGGTTCAATGATGCAAATGTTTCACCACCAGCAATCCCAACAGAAAAGTCTGGTCATGTTGAATCCCAAAAATTCAACTATATTTGGGCACGGATTGCGCCGCAAGTCGGAACTTGCTTATTGATACATGCTACATGCGTGTGTCCATGACACCACGGCATTTACGCACGGACAATGAAAGAAATGTTTCAGAATCCTTCTGAAATTCAAAAAATCCAATCACAACTGACCAAGTTCGTGAACGTGACGCGTCACATCCAAACAAGTTTAACAACAAAAATATATTACCCGACCGTTGTTGATTGCACCAGCATCGACCCCAAACAGCATTTATTCGTTGGTTTGTTCGTTGCATGGTTTTTTCCACATTCAACACAACAGCCAAAGCATGCACAGAGCAAGACCAAACCCGCTTCTTTGCAAACCCGTTTCTTTGCAAAAACAAAGGGATTTTATTTTCGTAAGTACACGTGTGTGTTTTGATGAATGCGAGCACGTGCGTTCATGAAGATGCATGTCACAAGGCGTTACAATGTTTTTTGGAAGCACGCGTAACTATATCTTCCAAAACACATGTGCGCAACTCGATCAATACAACAGTCTCTTTTCAAAAACTTGAGAGAGGAGGAGGTGAACGAAAGGTAGCAGGGAATCAGGCGTAACCTTGGAGGAGGTCAGGCCCCCCCTTGTTGAACAGAAGCTCTTTCTAGAGGATCAAAGTTCAGGCAAAGCACCAAGTACTGAGTGTGAGATATTATTGCGACATGAGGAGAACTGAGGTAGGTCAAGTTACTTAGCGTGATGAAAGATTGAAATCTTCAACAGCCGAAAAGCCCTTTCCGACAAGCTGAAAACACTGGTATGAATGGTATTTACGGTGTTTTGTGGCCACTTTGAAGCGTACATAGCTTGAAACCATCCCAATATACAGGGTATTGTGGCAGAAAGGTGCAGAAGCCCATGTAAGTACCGTCGCTTTGTGCCACTTTGAAGCTTCCCAGCACCGCAAAAGCCCTTTCCACCACAAAAAAAACCTGCAAATAGCGTGGTTTGAGGCCACTGAAAACAGATGAAAACAGTAGTATTTACAGTGTTTTGTGGCCACTTTGAAGCGTACACAGCCTAAAACCATCGCAATTTACAGGGTTTTGTGCCGGGAAGGCGCACAAACCCGTGTAAGTACCATCGTTTTGTGCCATTTAGAAGCCTCCAAAAGCCGAAAAAGCCCTTCCCGACAAAATTTGTCAATGTTTTTATGAGATTGCAATTTCTAGACACGAGACTTCTGCACTTAGAGCATTTCGTACTCCCGGGTTGAAATCATTAAATCATTAATTAATTAAGCTGGTCTTTTTTATAAAAAAATATCGTTTAAGAGATCAAACTTAACGACTTAACGATTTAACGTTTTTTGGGCAATCTATTTTGACTTGAAATGAAAAAATGTTCTTTTAATAAGAAACAAGTACTATATACCGTGAAGATTTTCAGCTACTACTACTACTACTGTGTCTGCAAAAGGTTTGTTTTCTTTGGTTCAATGCTCGCTGGAGTTGGCTCGGCCTCTATTTTTTCCTTCGTCGATGGCTTCTGGTTACAGCTTAGCTGTTTGCCAGCAATTGCCAGCAACCCACAGCGCCAAAATAGATAGCCTAAAAAGAATCGTTAAATCGTTAAGTCGTTAAGTTTGATCTTTTAAACTATATTTTTTTTATAATAAAGAGACCAACTAAATTAGTTCATGATTTAATGGTTTCAACCCGGGAGCACGAAATGCTCTAAGTGCAGAAGTCTCGTGTCTAGAAATTGCAATCTCATTCTGGCGCACTATCTCAGTCAATGTCAGGAATATGCGGCTTAGCTGGCAACCAAAACAAAGACCTGAAAGGTTTAGAAACCTGGAGATCAGCATTGTCTGAGATCTACAGGTGTTTGCCTCAAACGTTGGAGGTCAGTCTTGCGTGAGACAAAAAACCTAAAGGTGAACCTGTTTTTGATACACTTTTTGAATTTACTTTTTGGCTTCAAAAGAGGAGCCGTACATGTCGGCTGGAAGCCAAAAGCAGCTTCTCATTTTCTGGCATTTTTTTGACCGTCTGTGTCAACAAGCTCGTGCAGATAACCGGAAAGTGTGCGTCATCAACCTTGATGACACCGCCGCAAATCGATGCGCAAATGAAATCACGAGGCTATGTGACCTAAGCCAAGTGAGAACGTACTGGGAGACCTCCAGCCAGGTTTCTAAACCTTTCAGGTCTTTGTTTTGGTTGCCAGCTAAGCCGCATGTTCCTGACATTGACTGAGATAGTGCGCTAGAATTTCTAGACACGAGACTTCTGCACTTAGAGCATTTCGGACTCGCGGGTTAAAATCATTGAATCATTAAGTAATTAAGTTTGTCTTTTTACAGTTTAAAGGATCAAACTTAACGACTTAACGATTTAACGCTTTTTTTGGCAATCTATTTTGACTTGAAATGAAAAAATGTTCTTTTAACAAGAAACAAGTACCATATACCGTGAAGATTTTCAGCTACTACCACTACTCCCGGGAAACGTAAATTGGCCGGCAAGAATTTCAAGGTTTTGGAGGCCACAATCAATCCCTCTTCTTTTCTGCAAATGAAGCTTCAAACATGGCTCATCGGAGGGTGAATAACAGATACAACCAAGGCATAATGCGTCAGCCACTTGTGGGCAACTCTGATGGAGGTTGGAGTTTCTTGAACAAGGAGGTTCACATGGTTGGAGATCAGCCTCGTCTGAGATCCACCTGTAGGCCTTGATCTTTTTTTGCACAAGTCGAGGCGCTATGTGTGCAGGTTCTGCACAACAAACACCAACACCAAAACACCAGAGAGGGAGCAACCTGCTTTGCAACGTGGGGCCAGGACGGCATGGTGAAGAGAAGTGAAACAGGGGCAGCGAATTTAGCAAGGCGCTCAGTGGATCGCCGGACACGTCCTGGGCGGCAAGAGCATGCATCTGTGGCGTCCGTAGCCATTTGGCTCAAGGCGTCTCGGCTCAAAGCTCTCAGTAATGATCTGTTGAGTCAGGAGGTTCAAGACCACTTCTTCTCGAGAAGAAGTTGTCTCCGTGCCGGTACGCATAGCTAGGTTAGTTTGTACTTGGGCCTTGTGCATCTTTCTTGCTCTTCTCACTCTTGTGCAGTGTTCTCAGACATTGTACATCTTCAAGTGGTGTCCAAGCACACTATTTGATTGCAAATTTTGTCCATCACCTCACGCAAGCTTTCTCAAAGGGTTTCCTTGGACATCTTTTGAGATTTGGTTATTTTGCCTCACTAGCTTTTTTTGGTTGCTACTCGAGCAGTGGCCTTTGACACTGCTTCGAATTTCGTCTCTGGCCGAATTTTTGAAGGGGGTGTCCCCAGACATTGCCTTCTTTGGCCCCCTTTCTTGCCTTTTTGTTTAGCTTATTTTGTCATGTCATCGAAGGAAGTCTTCTGCACTGTTTCTCAGTTTATCTATAATGATATTCTTGACTCCTTTAAGGCAAAGGAAGTTTTTGCGCAGCTCTGTGGACCTTCTTTGGGTGCATCACCACGCATCTTTTTTCTTTGTCGTTTTCCTGGCATGGTCAATACTGAACGTTTCAGCAGCCTCTTTGTCGTTGGGGAAGACGAGTTCAAGAACATCTATGCGCTGTCTCTGGCAGCACCGGATTGATGTTATCATTCATACAACACAAAGCCGATTGCAAGACAACATCTTGCAACTCTATCACTCAGACAGTCAACTACTGCATGTGTTGATCTAACCATCGGAGTTTGCACCTCTTCAAGGCTTGCTGCCACCTCCGCCTGATGCCTTTAAGTGCTCATTCCCCCAGTGCACCCACCTCTGCGTGCTCATCTGGAGAACAACTGCTTGGGCAGTCGCCCTCATCCTGACCTGAAGGGTCCTGGGAGCAGTTGGGCTGAGTGATGTCAGGCCTTTCTTCGCTGCTTGTGCCTCAAGTGGGGGATGCTCCAAGTTTCGAAATCGAAATGCTCCTGGCACTGCAGTAATGGCAGCCTGAAGTTGTGGCGTAAGGGACTTGCTGGAACAAAGCCATGTTTTAGCATATTCTAAACTTGGCGAATAGACTTCAAAGCTGTTCACATTGCGAGTGGCACTAAGTGAAATATGTAGCTTTGGTGAAGATGAGCGCCCAACTTGTGCAAATTCAAAGCTTTTGTATTTGCTGATTCCTGGATATGGATGTTGTATCACTTTTGGTGTTGCTGAGTCTGAGGTCCTGCAGTAGCAGATTCCCTTGCAACAATTCATGCTTGTCTGAGCCAAGAAGTTGCTTCTCTCGCCCAGCAAGACCTCCAAAGGGTAATTCCCCTTTTTTGGAATACTGGGGAGGCCCTCTGTGGCGGGGCCGGTTTTTGCTAGGGTTTTTG